CTCTGAACACACCCCAAGTGATCTTTGTACCCATAATTTTCATCCATCGACGTGTATTATCCCAAAATATCTACAATGTCTACACACTAGTCGACCACTTTGTAACAACCAAAATTACAAAAAAAACTTGCTGAACAAACCGACCTGCCCTGATACCACTATGTAACACCCTAAAACCTTTATGCTTAATATTATATAATAAAGCATATAGAAAACACATGTTAACACTTAGGATGTTACTCAACATCAAACACATCTATTTTGTAACACTTAATTTAATATAATACATTCACCACCTGTTATCGCATGTTCACCTTCGCTTAGGGTATCATTGCAGTGGAATTATAAAAATAAGCATGCTTCAAAAATCATATAAGTACCATGAATTTACTTTATTAAACACATACACCCCTACACATAACTCCACTCAGCATGACACAACATATTCTCACACCCAAATCAACACCATTTACAATTACAATGATGCACATGACTCATTTATTCAAATGCGACTCGAATATGCAACTCGATACATATGTACGTGGTACCAACTTAATATTTGGTTATCTCAGGAACTGAGTCCCATCATTGAACCCATGAGCCCCCTCTCTGAGCTCTAAGCCCCCTCTCTGAGCTCTAAACCCCATCTTTGAGCTTGGGACAAGCCAATAATCTCCTTTTTAAACTAACTAACATGCCTCTTGACACAACCAAAATGATTCATGAATCATACATATCAATATCAATGCATTAAGACCCTTCTCTGATCTTAACATAAAGCATTGATAATTCTCGTAACCCACTCTCTGGATTACTACGCAACCACATTTAATCATACATCAACTTACTCAATTTATCATAACATTAGCATAACTCACATTTCATTCTCAACACAACAACAAAACTCGCGTCAATAAACATTTACTCAATTGAATAATTTTAAAATAATGAAGTTCCATCATATCATCCTTAACCGGCAAACAGTATATCAAAAGTCAAAACAATCAAATATGCATTTATACACTCCCAAACAAACTTAGTGTGTAAACTGCAAGATCATGATGCCCTGGTCGTCACCCTAGTGACACTCGTCATTGACCTCACAATTCTTCGTTCGTCACGATGTGACGACTGGCTTGGAAAATCAAGTTTGGATACTATGATGTCCTTCTTGTCAGGTCAATGACGCCCGTAACCATTTTGTGGCACATGACGGCTTACCCGTCATGGAGCACCTTCAAGCTCTGATTTTTTGGATCTCAATTTCCCAAATTTTGATTGCAAACATGGTATACATATAAAAAAAATAATCACACACACACGCGCACGCGCGCGCGCACACACACACACACACACACACACACACACACACACACACACACACACACACACACACACACACACACACACACACACACACACACACACACACACACACACACACACACACACACACACACACACACACACACACACATATATATATATATATATATATATATAACAATTTAATGAATTATTCATGCATTAAATCATACAATTTCATGTTCATCATTCCAAATCAGCAACACATATACATGGCATAGTTTAATGGTAAATGGTACACGAATTTCATCATACAAAACAAATTTTAACACTGATGATTTACCAATTTCTAGATTAATAAGATAACACAAAAAAATATACACATTCACATCAACCTATTGGAGGTTAAGGACTCCTCTACCCTACCCTTCATACATATACCATTTTTTAAGGTTATTCTCCCCTTTATCATAATTCCTAGCAAGAAATCTGAATTGTAATTAGTTTGGATGGATTATCCCTTCAACCTTTATCCTCACTATTGTCTCCCTTTACCTCTAGCCTCTTTCACTCTTTCTACGTACTGTTAAAATTCTCTCAATTCTAGGTTTATCTAATAATTTTATACTTAAGCTAAATCTTCTCAAAATACACACTTAGGCCAAACTTACATACTTCTTACTTCTTCCTCCCCATAAATTTCCCTAATCCTCACATTTGTCCCAGTTGCTCTATTTCTCTTTTTTAAATTTAAATAGTAAAACTAAAATAATTTTTTAATTAATAAAATAATTATAAATTATTCCATCCTCCTCTAATTACTCCCCACACTCCCACCATTGGGTCACACACCCTATTAACCATATTTATATAATTAATATCACTCAATAATTAAATAAATAAACAAATTCAATATAAGTCAAATAATTTCAATAAATCAAAAGATCGGGGCGTTACAGTTGGAGAAGATATGATTGAGGTTAGTAGAGAAATGATGCTTTGAATGTTATGGAGATAGGGTTTCACTAGGGCGTTTTTCTATTCTAAAGGGAAATTAGCTTCAATTTTGTTTATATATGTAATTTGTTTTAGTTTAAATTTTTTTATTATTTTCACGACCGATGTCTGATCCACATAACGAACCAACTAATGTGATTTCAACCTCGAGGTCCAAATGGCCTGACCAAGCGTTGTTTCCACATAGGAATCGAACTCAGTACTCCCTGAATATCAACCTTAGCAGGAGCTCCATGAACCCACTGAAGCTCAAGCATTTGATTGTTTTAGTCTAAATTTTAAAAAAGGTGTAAAACGACTTTTCACCTCGGTCCATTTTTTTTGGAAGGCAAATATAATTTATAAGAAAAACAGCACTAACATACAGAGAAACACGAAGATTGAAACAAAAATAGAACAAGGAGTGGCAGTGCAAGCAAAAAAGTATTAAAAAAACACTAGTAAACAACAACACCAAAAGGCAACAAAGCCAATAAAAAATCAAGAAGAAAATCAACCACCAAAAAACAGGGAATGGAAAACAGAGAAAAAGAAAAAACCCAGAATTCTAACAGAGCTAGATCTCTCCAACTAAGAACAACAGCAAAAAAAAACCCCACAAAAACCAACAAGAACACATCCTAGAGGAGGCCGAAGCTACTCACCCTGATATTAGCTTAGAAGTATGATATGGTTCTTAATCCAGACTGAGAAGGTACAAGAGTTCCCTATAGACTGACCAAGAATCCAATTTTAAACCATGGAAATATTCCTAACTCCTACATCTTTTGATGTCACCGAAGAATCAGAGAAAATGATATTATTCCAAGATTTCCAAATCGACCAAACTACGACATGCCAAATCATCAACAACCCCAATTTAGTTCTAAATCCTCCACTCAGAGGAAAACATTTGGAAAAGAGTCAAAACATCCCTAGGAAGCACAACACACCAACTCAACCATCTAAAAATCCTATACCACACAGAAGAAATATCCTCACAAGTATCGAAGAGATGAAAGGAGGACTCAACAAACATATAATATAAGGGGAAATAAATAGTCACTGAGGTCAAATGAATTCCCCATTTTAAGTAAGTTATCTGGTAGGGATACGATCCCGGAGAAGTTTACAAGAGAAAACTATAACTTTAGAGGGAAGGACTAAATCAATTGGTGGAGTCTATTGGTCTAGGGGAAGATGACGGGGAAGAAGGCTAGATAAGTAGAGGCACAAAATAAACACCATCATTCGAGTATGCCACAACCACACACCATTTACTAATGACAGCCTAAAATTTCTAATCAATGACAAAATGTCACTAAAAAGAGCCACCTCATAGTCAAAAGAAAAGGTCTCTGTCATCTGAGGTCCCAAATCCAATTCTCTCCTTCCCACCTACCAAAATCCCCAACAGAATTGGATGCCTGATTAGAAATAGTAAACATTATAGGTAGTGTGAGCCAAAAGGGAGTACTCCCAACCCAAGGATCATCCCAAAAGGAGGTAAGAAGGTCGGAGCCAACTTTCAGGGAGAGGCCGTCCCTAAATTAGTCAGAAGTATCATCAGCTTTACCTCCAAGAAGGGAGGCTCCTCCCCACCAAGGAGAAACCATTTAAAGGCTAGCGACTACCCCTTGAGATGGAAGCCACAAAGACTTCCCCATACATGGCCATAAATATATCATGCCAGATACCAAAAGCTCTAGAAATAAGACGCCACATCCTCTTGTCCAAAAGGGTTAAATTAACCAATCAAAGGTCACGAACCCCAAGCTTCTTAGGCTTGCAGAAATCCACCCACTTGATCCAGGAGCTTTTAGTCACCCCTTTCACCTCGGTACGTCTTACAATTTGTCAGGGAGACGTCCCTCAGGGACACACTTCCTCATGGTTGTTAAATATGACCGAGGTGGATGATAATTTAATTTTAATTTAAAAATAAAGAAAACCCGCCACTTTTATGGTGAATAAACTAGAATATTGTTATCAATCATTAGTTGGTTCAGTGGTGATTAGTGTTGGACTTGGTATGACAGACCATAATTTGACCTCTTACAACTAAAATCGAGAAGGGTTGAAACCACTTGATGTCAGATCTGACCCCAAACTAGATTAAACTGATGGTGAAAAAAAACACAAAATTGTTGATACTGTGATTCAAAACGTGTTTTTTCCCACACTTAATAAGATTGACCGAGGGAAATTTTGGTTTAAAAAGAAATATATCTAATGAAATAGATTTTATTAAGGTAAATTAATTAATCGAGGTAAAAGTTCGTTAAAAATATATATAATTTGTTATAGCGTCTAGTAGATGAATTTTCGTTTGTGATAGTCTTGAATAAGAATTTTATTGTTTGTTGATCTGTCATGTAAGGGGTATAGGATATGTGTAGGGGGTGGTTATGTTTTATCACATGTTTTGATACGAGTTGTGTGTGTACTAGTATCTATTGTTCTGGTATGTCTTATGCCATTGCCTTTTTCTTTAAATGTAACTTTTATTGGCTTTTAAGAAAAGAAAAAAAAAAGGAAGTCAGGAGTAGGGTGGAGAATTCATACACGGGTCCCACAATCATTATATCAAATCTAACTTTGTACCAAATCATTAAGTAAAAAAACTGTGAGACAAGTGGTCAATATTTATTGATCATACACAGACATCATTAATTCAACCAAACTACCACCCAATCTTGATGCAATTTCACCAAAAATTCATCACTCTACTCATCTTCACACCTTATCTTATTTTCTATATAATCCCCCACCCACAAAGACATTACACACCAATCAAACAAACTAAGAAAAAGTATTCAAAAGTGGCAAGAAGCATGAAGTTAGCATGTATTGTTTTGGTGATGTGCATGTTAGTTGCCCCTATGGCAGAAGCTGCATTCTCATGTACAACTGTAATGACTGATCTTGGTCAATGCCTTACTTATCTTGAAGCTGCTAATAGTGCTAGTCCTTCAGAACCATGCTGTGCAGGACTGAAGAAGCTTCTTGCTGCCGCCCCCACCGTCGCTGATCGTCATGCTGCCTGTAACTGCTTGAAATCAACCGCTGGTGCTATTTCTAATTTGAATGCTAACAATGCTGCTGTTCTCCCTGGCAAATGTGGTGTCAACCTTCCATACAAGTTCAGTACCTCCACCAACTGTAACACGTATGTGTTTCTTTAACTTTCACTCTCACTCTTATTTCTTATTTAATCTATTGCATCTATGTTGTTTTTATTTTGAAGCCTGTGACAATATGAAATTTATTACTCACTGGTTTTCTTTATTTGATATTTTTACAGCATTAACTTTTGAAGATGATGTTGTGGTTTCAAGGTTATGGAAACTTCTCACAAGCATACGAGAGTGTCATTTAACGCTATTATTAATAATAATGTCATAATGAGAGTGTTGTAGGCTCATTGTTATATGTGCTCCTATCCTCTTGTTGCACTACATGCGTTGTATCACTCTAAAAATTTTAAGGTTAATTGTTTCCTACCCATGAATTTAAGTTGGATTCGATACTTTTAGTACAAATTATTTTAAAATATAATTTATTTTAAAATAAAATAAAATAAAATATCTAACTAAATTCATGAGTGTTGAAGTCTTCATCAAATTTTAGTTGGATTTTATTTCCTTATTAATTGATAAATCTTATTTTATTTATAATTTTTGAAAAAATAATCATCACAATATTATCGGAAAAATAAATCTTCAATACAATAACTAACTCTTATCTCACTAAATGTGATTAGCTGCATGGATCAATTTGTCATAATATTTTATTAATGATTATATTTTTATCTAAATCATTAATCTCAAGATTTTTCTTGATAATTTCTCTTATAGTGTTTTTAAGTTTTCTTATTTCTCTAATTGCTTGCATTTTTCATCTGATCTATTATCCTTACCACATAAATTATAAGTCTAAACCATCTAAGTCTATTTTCGACCATCTTCTCAATTATAAACGGTACCGTCACCCTCTCTCTAATATTTTTATTTATAATTTTATCTTCTCAAATCTCATGACACATTCATTACAATATTCTCATGTCTGTCACATTTAATTTATTCTTGTGTTGATTTTTAACTGTCCAACATTTTATCACGTATAAAATCGCATATTTTATTGTAGTCCGATAAATATTCTCTTAGCTTTGCTATATATAGTTGGTCCTTAGCTCGAATAAAAGAAAAGTGTTATATTAGAGTGTCGACAATCAACTTAAAACTTTGTCGAACTTCTATATCTTAAAAAACAAATCATCAATAAAATCTTAAAATTTTAAAATCATTGATTATTACTAGGCAAGTTTATTAAGTAAATAGATCGATTATTGTTTGACAAATGAACAAATATATTTGCTAAAAAATACATAGTAATCTTTTGAATGTAATTTTTTCAAACAACACCGATATTTGGATATTAAATTCAATGTTTTAAAAATCAGATCAAATCGATCGGTTCAATCGATTGAATCAGAAATCAAAGATGAATTCGATTAGGTTAATCTTTTAAAATCTCTATCGGGTTAAAATCGGAAAAAACAAATTTAACCGTTCAAAGCCATTCGAACTAAAGAATCGGGACCGATTTTATAAAACCGTCCCGTTCAAATAAATTCATCGAATTGACATTTTTAAAAATAAGTTTAATATGTTAATATCAAAATTTAACATATTGTATTGTTTATTTTTGATATTCTATCTTATTTAATTAATTTATTCTTAATTATTTAAATTTTATTTTTGTTATTATCTTCTATTATTTTAGTTCTGTTTTAAATTTAGTTTAATTTATTTAAATTATTCTTAAAAGAAGATTGAAATAAAGTGTATAATTATATTGTTGTATTAAGTTTATAATGAATTTTTAAAATATTTATTTTATTAAATTATGGATATATGAATATGTGTAATGTGTCTATGTAATTTATTTTCATATTATTAATTTATTTAATAAATAATTCAATCGTAAATTAAACTGGTTTAATCAATAAAATCTTAAACCAAACATTTTACCTGTTTGACCAGCAGACCGATTTTTAAAATATTGATCAAAGCTTTAACACATTATCACCAAATGTCTAAATATGCCTTAGTGTAATTAAGGAGAAAACTTTTATTATAAAAACTACAATAGTACATGAATACGGTATTGGATATCTTCTTAATTAGCAAAAAATTCTATTTTTTGAGATATTAAATCAACATTTTTATTTATTTAAGTAGTAAATTTTCTATTTTAAATAAGATATTGAAACTTTGGAGGAGAAGGGAGGAGAGAATTCTGAAAAAGAGAAGAGTAAGTGGATAGAATTGAAGAATTTTAGTTTAGAGGATTTTATAAGATTTGTTTTTATTCATAACATTAAAAACCATCTAATTTAAATTTATATTGAACGATTTATATAACTTTATCAAATATATTTTATATTATTATAATATTATAAAAATTAAAAGTATAGTAATAATAAATATTTTTTTAACATTTTATACAAAATTATTTTTTTAAAAATATCAAATACCTTTCTATATTTTAAAAAAATTTGTTTTTGAAAGCATTCTTTTCCCCTTCTTTCCAAAGTCTCAAACAAAATCTCCTAACACAAGACCTGACAGAAAAATAATGAGTTATTAGACTACTGAAGCTACGAATGAGGAGCTTCAAAACCACTAGGAATATCACCCAAATCTAGGGTTAATACGCTTTAGAACCATTTCACAAGCAAAGAATACATCTATTAAATAGGGACACAAATTTGGAAAGAAATAAAAATATGAGTGAAATTATATTCTATTAGAAATAAGATATCACACACAATATTAAGACAAAATGTGAGACAATTTAATATATAATAAGAAAAGCCTAATAAAATTTTGACAAAAATCAACTGAATCCAAAAAGTAGAAGATCAATTTTCTTCATTAAAACAAAATGTGAATCTTTTACAAAATCAAATTTAATTTAATATTTTTTAGACAAATTTAAGATTTTCCAGAATCTTTACTCAACATATTCGGTTTAAATGAACTTTTTCAAATAACTCACGTTTAAACACAAATCTGATTGAATTAAAAAAGAAACAAATCTAGAACAAAATTCTGAAGCGGTAATCAAATAGACAGAACATGCGCGCCAGAGTGAATAGATATTGTCTCCCACATAGTCAGGAGATCTTGCTTCACATGTTACTCACAAAAACTATCCAATCAAATGTAATAACAAACCCCCTTCTTTAGCTATTTTTAGCCAATGAAAAGCTATTACGTACATTCTCCCATATCATATTACAAGCACAATAATATAACATAAATCACACTGGATAATCTGAAACTCAGATCGCATAAGAGTAGAGAATGTGCTATATCTCTCCCTATTTGCCTCAAAAGAGACAAATGCATGAGACGGTTGCAAAAAAACACACCAGCCACATCAGGGCATATACAACTTCAGCAAAAAAAACAAAATCCAGCCAAAATAAAAACAAAAACAAAAACAAAATTCAAAACAACTAATAAACCATCAAACAAATGACTGAGACAAAGTAAAAGAATCATCATCTGAAGAAATTTCATACTTGTTCTCAACGCCAACTCCCTCTTCATCAATTGCAATGACTTCATCTTAATTCATTGTCACAACATCTTTCCTAACATCGGAAATGGAAGTCTGAGAAGAAAAAACACCAAAAAGTTGTGGTCTTAACATTTTAATAATACTTTCACAAATACCTTTTCTTGTAAGGCATGTGGAAGTAATTTCTTGCAGTGTCTTAGTCTAATAGATAAGAGCTTTAAGAATGTAGCTTCTCACATGTCCAAACATATGTGCCACATCAATCATATTTTGATCAATCTCTAAATTATATTCATCAATATCAGTAATATTGAGAAGCATAATATCATATACATGTTTCCCAATAAATTGTATATAATTGAAATTCAACAATCCGGGATAAAATTCTGGTGCAGCAGACTCAGATGTTCTATAAGGATGTCAAGACATCTGATTTGACACAACATACATGCAAGATAAAACAGTACTGAAAAGATAAAGAACACATCCGAATTTTTTACCCAGTTCAGTATACAACAACACCTACTCTGGGGGCTACCAAGCCAAGAATGAAGTCCACTATCAACAGTATCAATTTACATAACCTACAACCAATACACCCGTTAATGATCTACGCACTTAATCACTACCCAATGACCCTTCTACGCAGGTCCTCCCTAGATATGGAATATCCACATCCCACTTCCAATCATATTTAATGATGTCTAGCAGTTAACACCTCAGTTACTGCATAGACAACCCTTCAACAAGATTTTGATCACACGGATAGACAGTTTGGAAGACACACTTCCATGATAATACCCAACTAAGTTTCCAAGCCAAATTCCATTATTTGTTAACTTTGATCCTAACACATCCTGGAGTTGCTTCAAAGCTTCCTCCAAGAACAATACACATCTTACCTACAGGCTTCGAGGTGAACATGGTAACCTTCCCATAATCCGCGTGGTTTACCTTGACAAAACTCTAGAATTCTACATCTTGAGTCGTGTTTTATAGGTTACACACCCTTCTATTTATAATTTGTTACCCAACTGGTTTTGGGCCTTTAATCACAGTAATTCAGTTGTAACAAACTGCAGAAAATTCTGCCCCAAGAAAGGTCTTCAATCTTTACTTTCCTAAATAATATCCTTATTTAGAAAGTCTTCATTCTCCTTTATTTCTAATTAAATTTTCTAGACCTTTAAATACGCGCCACATAGGATGCATGATATTCTCCTGAATATTCTGCCTATGTTGAGAACAAACAAAATCTCATTAATCCAGCTCAGCAGGTGCGATGTCAAGACATCTTCTTCGACATGTAGCTCCAGTTGTTGAAAAGTTCAACACAACATGTTCTGAAATTGTAATGGGACTTCTTGTTGTATCTGTTCTTCTTATCCTATTCTTCATTGCTGCTATTATTTGTTTACAAAAAATTAAGCCAATCCTAAAACAAGAGAACTAACAATCTCCCCTTTTGGAAAATTTTGGCTAAAACAAATAATCTTAAAACAATTGTAATCGGAACAATTCTGCACACAACAATAGATCTTCAGTTGAAAAAATTGTCTTAACATCTTGTTCGACAACTTCTTTGCAGCACTCTGAAGAACTTAATTGCATCAGTACCAACGAACATCAGTCGCATCAGCTTCAAGATAAAAGGAAGGAAAGTCCTGAAGTCTGGTTGATGCGCACGAGGAAGAAGATAGTAGAAGATAGTTTGTGTATCATTCCA